AAGGCGAAACAAGGAGTATAAGCAGCGCCATTCTCGAGCATGTGGTCGATTCCGGACATCGTGTGGACCCCAACGAAGCTTTCCGTGTGATTTATAAGGTCCCATCGAGCTACCCTAAGCTACTAGGCCAGCGCCTGTTAGCGACAGCGGAAGCGGCCGCCATTAGGTTACGAAAGCCGGCCTTATGCGCACAGAAGAACCACGTTCAGGCTCCGCGCCTACAGTGGCCGAAGGTTGACTAACGGTGCAACTCCCCCCGCGCACCTGCGCTCTCACCTCGCCCCTGACAATGACTACTACTACCCCCCTCCCCCCACAGTCCCACACCCCGCCTGTGTGTTAACGAGAACTTTTATCGATTTCTCTTATCGCTGACATGTTTGACTTCTATCCCGTTTCTATATAACTGTACTGGCCCGATGAGAATTTATCGAAAGTTACGTATGCTCGCCACCTCGTCTTCTGATTTTTGCTATGGGAATTTTCGCAACTCTAAAACAATAATTTAGAGTATTGATGTAGGGAGTTTCTGTCCTTAATACCGACCAGCTTGTTGTTTGGCTTGCATGGGCGGCTCAGTGCCGCAATTTATGCGTATAAGCACGCGGGTTAGTAGTAATGAGAATTCTACACTGCTCGCTGTTAGGGCCACACGCACGTGGCAGGTAAAGCAGGGAATGGCCTTCGCTTGTTTTGGTGAAAGTTTCTGTTAAGATAAGTTGGTAAGAAGCAGAATGGCGCAAAAGTGTGGAGAATAGCAAAGACCGTTGACGCGTACCGGTGTTTAGGATAGAAGAGAGCTCCTGGAGGGCATCGAACGCCTCGGTATCCATCTGGGGAATGTCACTTCCCATGAGCACCTAGTTAGAGAATACAGTAAGGGAAGGGACAGGACTAAATGTCAGGCCCTACGCCTTAGAAATAATGTGCCCTTCATGGGTATGTTTTTATTTACTATATGAAATTACAAAAATAAGCATGTGGTGACATCTCGGCGTAGAAAGCTAGCGAGCTAGTTCGTGACCAAAATATTTCTGTACGCGAAAGTTGGGATGGATCTTCTTTCCATCTTCCGTGTAAAGCAGGTGACGCAGGCACACGTCGCACATTGCGGCAGGATCCCTTGAGAGGATTTCTCCAGCATCATAAACGAGCCATTGTGTGGCAAGGTGCTTGCAGACACTGCATTTATACACAAATGTGAACGAACGGCCTGTACAGATGGGATATTTGGAAGCGGACTGGGCACATGTTCGATCAGTCAATCTAAAAGTGGTGAATGGGACGTCACTAACATCAAATGAAAACTGGGAGCAAAAAAGAGAAACGTGACTTGAACCACTGACCACTGCTTACCTTATATCTGCGAAGATAACTATGTGCTCGCAACTTCCCTGATGAAGATAAAGGTATGGTTTACCTAGGTGTAACTTCAAGTCACCGAGCAAAGTGTCAGTGTCCGCAGCGGTAAAATGGTCCTTGTCCGACACGTTCACTTTGCTATTATGCCAATCGATGACATCCCTACGAAGAATGTATGTACACAGAGGTTTGCCCAACTTACGCACTTAGAGCAGTTGACTTGGGATTGCGGAGATCATCATAGAATACGTTCTCAATGAAGAAGTAGGCGGAAGTGTACATCAGGCCCGCAGGGATATGCAATTCCGGCTTATCTAGAGCTTCACTGCAGTCACCCAACCAGATCATGTCTTGTGGACAGCGGATTGCGTCACGAAGTGCACCCAGGGATTGCGAGCCAAGAATTTCAATCCGCTGATCGACAATTAATTTCCAGGGACTGTTGCTGCAGTCTACGGTAGTTGTCAGAGGCCGGTAGATGAAGACTGTGAAGATGGCATCTTGGATCGGTCTGCCAGAATCAAAGCAACCATCGGGTGAATTTAGATAGGACTGGTCAACTTGGGGTCGACGAAGGCGTGCCCGTACACTAAGAGCATGCGTGCCTGACAGCTTGTCAAAAGGGCATTCGGGTAGGGCTTCCAGGGTAAGAAGTCTACCAGAGCGTTGGGTACGGGAGGGAATGACTTGGAGAACCTCATCCAATGTCCGGTGTTCGCCTTCAATATACAGGTTGTCCAAGCTAAATGGAGAGAGTCCAAAATAAAACATTTACGAAGGGCAACTTCGAGGAACAAATTTGACAAATATAGACATTAAAGGTGGACCGTAATCTCTATGAGAGCATTTTAGAATGTCAGCACTAAGAAGACAAAAAATGTGGTTCGTGAAATAACATTCGAATGCGTGGCGTATATAGCCGTTTTTGTCGGCAGTTGGCCGTGGAACTCAACGTTACGAACCCTGTTTAACTTCTAGTCCTGGGACAGTGACAAGGTCCTCATAAACTTCGTCATTCTCGCATTGTATGTATCGTACAGAATCCACAGGCCCAACGCTCCTCTTCGGCCAACCATTGTCCTGAAAAGCACTTTCATTTACGATCTAGACAAATGGGTGACCCGAAAATTAAACTTTTTATGTTGACTCATCCTTCCAACTCCTCGCCGACATTCGGGGGAAAACAGTTCGACTTGACTAAACTATGGCATCGCTCGACGTGGTCTCATGGTTTACATCTATCCCACCGGACCTGGCGCGCGATGTTCTACGCGAACGGCACGAAAAGGAGTACGACGAAAGGGGGTCCTCTAGAGATCGAGTATCTAATGAAACTTTACATTCTACAAACGAACTTCCTCATTTTCAATGGTTAAACATACGAACTAGTCAAAGGAATGACGATGGGTCCCGAATATTCAGCTAGTTGTTGAATTAGTCTTGTAGGTACTTCGAGGACAAACGGACCGTTTGGAGGGGCGATCCGTTGTCTCAAATCGTTACTCATGACCAGGAAGAAGGTCACGAAATCGAATTCGCGAGCACGCGGATAACCGCGCATGCCAGCAATAAGACGCGGTGTGAACTGCTGGAGAAGAGTGTTTGACAGCAGCTCCATAAGCAGACGTTGCTATACCAGCTACTATAAAGCTATGCTCCCGCGGTCAAGGGGCGCGGCCCAGTTCCCGGCTAGAGATGCACAGCGTCGCCACACCGTGAGTTAGACAGTGTGAGCCCGATCCGGCTGAGACAACCTTTCTCACCCCATCCTTTATTCCCTCTCTCACTGTCTGACTCAAAAACCGCCTATTCTTTGTTGTACTCTCACACTCCGATGACGGGCTCAGGACAATATAACTGAGGTTTTTGTAGCTGCATGCTAATATTTACATTAAGTTTTCAGTACAGGAAAAAGCCTACGGCAGTTAATTTGCGACATTCGTTTTCTCCGCGTTTGTGGTTAACCTAGGGTTAGCACATCGGAAAACGGGCAGGTCCGGGCTCCTCTGTATGACCGCTTTAGTCGAATTTGGCGCAAACGCTTCGAAGAGAGATAGTTTACCTTGGCTGGTGACGGCCTGCATGGGAGGGCTGAATAACTTTCCGTTGGTTCAGTAATTGTTGCAGATTCTAGGTTGCTTCTTACAGTGAGCCTTTACCAGCACTGAAGTAAATATAGGTACGGGGCGGTTTGGAGTGATTGAAGAACCATGCCTCCTCCCCATTTACCATGGCGAAGGTCTTTGAGATCCATTCGTCCGTAACGCACGCCAACATATCGTCGTTAAGTTGCCTGATCTTTAAGGCAAACCCTTCAGGAAATCCGATTTTCGTCCTCACAATACAAGTTTCGTCCCGGTTCTTGATGTCGAAACACTTAAAGTCGATGATGGCATGTAGGTTGGGTCTCCATATTACTGCTCCATGTTTAAGGTCGGGCGACTAGGGAGAATGTAGGCGAAAAACAAGTTCGGCAACGACAAAAGTCACAGCGCGATAATTTTAAATATGACCGTCCACTATGTCCAGTCAGATAGTTGGGCTACGCACTAATATTCAGAGTCGAATGAACTGTGGAGGGTGACGCAAGTAATTACGAATAAATGGCAAACAACGTGAACGCAATTCAGATTGAATTCAGCATGAATAATCCATATTAAGACGAGGTAACAGGCTCCAGAATTAATTACAAACAGCGACAGTTCTATGGTGTAAATCGGTTGAAACTTGAGCGACGCCAAATGAGAAATCAGGCGTAGAGATGCAGGCTAAAGGCGCTAGTTTCTGCATTTCAAGATAAAGACTAACAAAGGAGGGCTTAAGGAGGCCGTGTAAGTTAGATGAAGTGTGGAAAAATACATATCTGAAAGTTGGCGTAAATACAGGCTGCAAATTATCTTGCCTGCAATCCTGTTTTATTTCTGACAGAAGAGCACTGTCTCCCAACAATCGCAGTAAGTCTGACTCCATGAGAGATGTTGCTTCCGATTCCGTCAGACATTCGGCCTCCTTCGGCAGGATGGGCAAAAATGAATCCAAGAGCTCCCGGCCACAGACGAGGGGAGACTGACGACAGACATACTCCAACACACCATTTGGTGGGCGGTCGTCGACTTGCCACTGCATTCCACACTGCTAGCTCTTTATAGCACTGCGCACTACTGGTGCAGCCGGGGATGCAAATCCTTAGGTAGAGCTGTACCACTACCCGTCACTAAGTAACCGCACGAAAAGAGACCCGACCAAGGTTGGATTCGAAGTCACGGAAACAACTTCAAATAATTATTTAGTGAAAACTATATTATTCCTTGTTAATTGTAGGCAGAGATGCAAGTGTTTGAGGGGAAAGTAATATTAAGTTTGTAAGTCGAAAATTCCGGGTCAGCAGGCCTGCAGCAGATTAGCCCATATGCCAAAGGAACGCCAAACACAAACTCGCGCCTAGGAGGGGGAGAACTTTCGCCAGCGCGACTAAACTTCCAGCCCACAAAATGCCTAATAATCAAAATCAAAATACAAGCCAACAATGTACTTTGTATCTGCACGAGCTCATGATGCTGTCATCTACATAAAGAGATGATGTGATCGAATTTCGAATATTGCTCTTAACCTTGCTTTGCCGTGACGCATTACGGACAGGGCAGGATCGTTTGAATGGAGTGGACAATTTTGGTGCAGATCAGAGGTGGAGCTGTTGTCCGTAACGCCCAATGACCTCGATAGGGTTGTTTGCATGATGAAACACTTCTTGGCGCGCGGACATAGGATGGTGATGGCGTAACCGCGTGCTGGTGAAGATGGCCTTTGTCCTTTCCTCGAACTTCCGCCGACCCCTTTTCACGCAACTAACGGTGACGCTCGCAGCGCTCTCTCTCCCTTTCTACGTCGGCACCTCTATCGGCCCTCCCCTGAAGTTGTCCGCATCTCTCCGCTCCCCACCGTTTAATTTGCTGACATGTCGGTATCCCCTCTCCATCCAGACAGGTTACTCCACTGTTGTAACTCATTCTGCTTGTGCAATTAGTAATTACTATGCATTATTCGAATTCCTGCTTCTGTCCATTATGTCTTATCGCTTACTTGATGTTCCTTCTTCCCTTACGTGCGGGCGAGTGTGGCGAAATACCATCCTGCCAGCACCAGCCCCCTCATGCTCCGTCATAGCCCCGCCTCGCGAGGGGGCTCTAACGGGACTGAGGGGGCTGTGAAGGGACTGGAGAAGGGGCTGTGGCGGGGCAGATCCCCGATGTTGCCT